CATCCTCCTCAGAAACTTGAACCGGATGAGGATGCATGCGAAACTAGGTCGGATGTTGCATGTAGCAACAAGAGTCAGCATGCGAGGCTCAAAACAGTGGTAACATCCGTGCAAATGACACCCTCGTTCAACCCTGTCATGAGACGTCTAGCAAGGAAATCATCATTCGACTGTCGTCTGCGATTCGATGCCAAACTGCGTCGCAGCCTGCCAGTGTGCCCCGCCCCAACGAGCCTCATCCTGTTGTTTCTGTCGTTTGCTCAGCGCTGTCGCTGTTTCGTTCAGCAGTGGCATAATCTATCGATCCTCTCGGATGAGCATTCGTCTGACAGAAAGTTGGAGGAAACCCCACAAGACTTGCAGACTTCAGACACTGCTGCATCCTCCTGAGAAACTTCAACATGAAAAACAGGACTTGAGGAAATAGAAGGCCGTAAACAGTCCTTAGACCTTTTGGCGCTGGACAAGTGGGCGGGAGTTGACTGATCAACCTAGTCTTCTCGTTGGTTTGAGCATGGTGTACGTTTCGCGGGCGCTGCCAGCTCGCTCCCGTGTTTGCTTTGAGGCGTAGAACTTAGGTCCAAATCCGTCAAGAAAAGGTACGCCGAAAAACAGGTGTACTTCGCCAGAATGCAATTCTGGTCAAAAGTACGGACTGAACAAACAGACTTTTGAGGGTCCATGCCGCTAGTCGCGGATGTCGTTCTTTGTGCCATGTCAATCCTGTTGTGGCTGTCGCTTGCTCAGGGCTGTTTTTGGTGTCTTGTTCAGCTGTGGGAAGGTGTATTGATCCTCTCGGATGAGCGTTCGCCCGACGAACAGTTGGAGGAAACCCCACAAGACTCGCAGACTTCAAACACTGCTGCATCCTCCAAGCAACAGGAGTCAGCATGCGAGGCACGAAACAGTGATATAACATTGGTGGAAATCAATCGATCGCTTTATAATCTGTCACTCGTGTCAAAGTCATAATCTTTCATTTATAGTCATATGATTTTAAATACGAAGTCATCATAATTCGGCTGTCTTCTGCTATAATATTGAATGCAGTTTCCTGACGCCGCAGTATGCTGAGCAATTGTTCAGAAAACAGCCGGTCGCAAAGAATGCGAATCACACCGCGTCCGCACAGAAAAATGTCGTATCCGCCCTTGAGCAAAGATCGCACTGGATGCTCCGGTCGGCCTGAGCAGAACCACGTTCCAAATCTCAACCAACGTTCACAACAATCCAAATCCAAAACGCCCCATATAATAATATAACATATATAGTTTGTTTGTGTGGGTTCTCTCTTGTCGAAACATACCGCTGAATTATATCCCTCTTGGAATGCCCTAAAGCTGAATTATATTCCTCTTGGAATGCCCTAAAGCCCTTAGTAACGGTTACGTTGTTGCGTTGCCCCCAGTTGCCCCCGTTGAAAAATTCGGGACCAAACCATCTCCACTTGCTTCCAACGTTCGATCTATCAACCTCTTGTTGCCCCACTTGTTTCGCCAATCAATGAGATGAACATATGTTCCCCTTCTGTATGCCTCATCTCTTATTTCAAGGGAGGCGATAAATGTTTCTGGAAACATCCTGCCACTATAGTCTTTGATGCGCCTATGCCTATGCGATAAGTTTTCCACTTGACATGTCTCTTCTCCCTCTGTCACTTCCCCGTCATTTCCGAACACTTCCGTTCCACAGCCGGGCCTTGACCAGCGCAGCAGGGCTGTTCTCGCAACTGCAAGACGATCACTGCACCATGTTTCCAGCCATTGCGTCAGGTGATTTTTGTTCCTCCGCGATTGATAAGTGCTCTAATCTATGTATGAAACAAACGGATCTACAGCTACGAGCACGAGCTATGAAGCACTAGCACCGCATATTGGTATCTAAGGATTGCATGTTGTGAAGCCTGGAAGCAAACCTGGCCCTCTGAAATGAACATAGCACTCTATATAAATATAAATTAAATATACACATATGTTTTTATCAGATATTATACGGGCTGCTCATGTAACCCCACACGCTACACTTTCGGGGCCGCAATGCTCGTGACCCCGAAACAGTCCCGAGAACCTGTCCTCATCGATTCGTCCAACCAACCGAGGTTGAAGCACCCGAACTAGGCTATCCCGGTACCCTATAGTAAGGTCCTTACTATAGGTCACTTCACCTCTCTTGGAAGTCAAGTGGCATTTCCAGGTCCTGACCGAACGAAGCTCCTCCATGGCGTTGATGAACCAGGTGCAAAACAGCTGGACCGATGGCGTTGCTGGTCACCCGTCCACGTCCCTCGTCCAGAGACGTTGATTATGGGACCGAGGACCGGTTTCACCAGCGGGACGAGCCGGTGGATGGGTGGTGAAGACACGAAAAAACCAACAACAGAGGTGAAATCGTGCAAAAAAAACACTCCAAAACCCAAACATCCCAATGACCGCCTTGTCGCTCGTGGCTGGAAAAGAACGAGAAGTGCAAACCCGAACCCAAACCGCCTTTTTGATGATCGGCCCAATGGTCAAAGCACCGTGATCGAGATTATTTGGTGCGCGACAGATCTTGAAATGAGGCACAGCATGGTGCAGTGGATGACAGCGACGCATTTGCTTGGACTCCAAAGTCATGGATAGCAAGGCCACCGCCTGACTGTGCTTCAACAAACTCTTTGTGGGCGCAAGGTGCGCTTGTCACGGAGCTGGAAGCCTGTCTGTCGGGAATATATTTGCCTTCTTGTATAATGCCCCTTAAAGGCAATCTGAGTGCTTCCCCGAATCCAGGCTGTATATGGTCAATGCAGTATCGCATGAATATGGTGTGCCATTTTCAGGAACTCTATAGCTTTAGTAAGCCAAATGGCAGGAGCGACTTCCCTTCGAGTTTTTCCAGTCAATCTCCCTCAAGCCACATGATTTGTTCCGTCGGTGCGACTCGCAGCATGGCCCAAAAGGTCTCCACGGAGACACGACATGCATGGAGACGCAGGCGCTTGCGGTGCAAGCGCGCCATGCGGAGACCTTTTGCTGTGCTCTCCCGGAAGGACAATTGGGATCAATGCGGCAAACTGGTAAGCAAAATGCAAACATGAACAGGCACAATTGGGACATATTGGGACAATCCTGCATGTACAGGACATGGCGAAAGGAGAAACCATCGTTGAGAAACACGGACTCTGGATCTGCCCGATTTTTCATGGTGCTTGGGTATGCCTTGGTCCTTGGTCACCTATGCAGAATCAGGTTGGTCCTTGTTGGCAAATGCCTTCACCGAGGTCGCCACCGAAGCAAACCGAAGAAAAACGATTTTAACCGAAGGTCGTGGCCTTCGCGGTGAACAAACACCGAAAACGACCCAAACCACCGGTGGTTTCATCCTCCCCGCCACGGTCGTGAGAACCATGACCGAAGGACCGAACGTGAACGGTGAAGTCTGAGGTCCAGACCACGCTTTCTGCGCGTCGCGATGTCTTTGATCGAAAGCAACGCCGGGTTTTTGGTGTGAGGACTTTGCTCAAGTAGACGCTGCATCACAAGAACAGTTCACCTAGCAATGACCAACGGAACTTCGGACACCTAATGGACCTAGTAGTGCGGCAGTGATCCTTTTCGTGGCAATTTCTGGTGGCGGTGTGTCTGATCCTTGTGACTTTGCCGACCACGACCTGGTCGTCCTTTCCTCGCTGTTGGTAGCTATAGGCTGAGTGCCAACAAGGCAAAGCAGCTTCCAATACTAAAGATGCTACAAGTCTTGGTGCCTTCATCCGCTTTCTTTTTGTCCCATGTGTTTCCACTCCATGGTGCCTTCCTTTCCTGCCTTTCCTCCGAAGGCCGCTTGGAAGCGACGGCGAAGACTTGTGGTTTGCACCTCCCGCGGACGGGACGGGTGAGTTCAGGGCCACCAGGTGAGGGCTTTGATTGGACCCAGACACGACTAATGGGACTGCCATAGGACTGCCGCCCCATTGACCCCCCAAACCACCACCCCTGGCCGTTTCTCGGCAGTCCTATGGCAGTCCCATGGAGTGTCTGGGGTAGCTCAAAGGTCTTCTTTCAGGAAAGCAGTGTGACAGACTCAAACCACGGACGGGGCCAGGAATGCAGGCGGGCGGCAAATGGTCTGCGATCGTCTACGGTCCAAGATCTCACCCTTGCAGCAAGCTTGAGTCAATCAAGAGCATCCACAAACATGGCGGCTGGCGGCCCACTGGTTACATCAGTACGACCCCTCGTCCCGGCGATCGCATCCAGAACGCCTCCTCCAAATCTGACACGTCCAACTCAGGGCACTTGTGTATCGACACGGATGACTGAGTTGACGTAGACACTTAGTCCAGGTCGAATTCCTTACGAAACTGCGCAGAAATCAAAGCCTTCTCGCTCGAGCAATGTTTACCTTTTGCATTCGAGCAAATGCGTGAGTTATGATCTGTGAGACCACATCAGGCTCTTTTGTTTGCGTCTCTTTGAGGTTCCTATGAGGTTGCTTCAATGGGAGGTCTTGTCTCCGACACAAGGTCACCAGGTCATGCTGTTGCAGCAAAATTGGAAGCACATGGCTTCCAGCCAGTCGTGTTTTACACAGTGCTTCTTGGATGCGCCCAAACATGGCGAAACATGCTTAGCATTCAAAGCTCCCCCCCAAAAAAAGAACACATCATTCGTGAATTCATGAGCTCTCCCCATCAAACCAGCCTCGCTTTTGGCCCCCTCAACATCGGGGCGACGTGGCGACGCGGCGACGACTCCGGCCTTGCGCTTGGGCCGCGTGGGCTGCGGCCTCACCGGCCATCGAGGCCACACCCCAAGGCGTGAGTCCTGCGGGACGGCGAGCCTCGTCGGTGGAAGCGAGTCGACCCGCAATTGATACGATCCGGACAAACCCTATCGGTGATACGGTTTGCAGCGGTTGGGCTCTAGAGATCTCTAAGATGAACTTCCAAAAACCGTCCGACCTACGGGTTTACCTGGGGCATCGGCATCAATTCGGTGAACTGCCAAGGTCGCACCGTGCACCGTGCAGCGTGAGTGGCAAGAATGAGTCGAAAATGGGAACCACCGATGGGATCGCCGGAGTATACCATGGATTTTATGCCCAAACCGGGTCGAAACATTTTTGTAATTGGTCTTTGAAGGCGGATAGGATGTGCATCTCATGAGTCTCATGATCATCAAAGAATGTCTCGGTCAACACTTCACACCGGACCTCACTGCCCCTTGAGCAACCGGCTGTGTTGAGACTTAGATCGTTGTTTCGCTAAGAGCTCCATTTCATTACAAACCTCTTCCCATCTCTTCCCCACCGAGATTCACGGGCAGAACACCTCTAACCCGCCTGCAGCTTCCGCCGCCTCAGCCGCTGCCTCTCCAGCGCTCAATGCAGCTGCCTCTCCAGCCGCCGCACCTGAAGACGACCCGTTGACCGTGTGCACTTCGTGCGGGCTTCGTCAGTGAGGAGGTGAGAGCATCGTGCAAGATGAGAGCCTCTGTATTGGCTCTTTTGTAAGTTCCAATAAATCATTCGCGAGGTTGGTCTGAAATCAAAGATGTAACGCAGGAGTTCGGACCATGTGCTAGTGCTCTTGGCTAGTGACTGCGAGTGCTCGAAGTTCCCACTCACTGGAGGAGGTGCAACGAACGTTCGGCCCACGAACGTTCGGTGCTGTGGAAGGTTCAACCCGACACTTCCGATCCCCTGGGAGTTCGGTCACTGGGACTCCCAACAGGGTGGACGGATCCAAAGACTCCATGTAGACATATTCACCTACGACCTTAAAAGTGGTGGGTTTGAATTCGGGGTCTGTCTGGGGCACCGGGGCAAGCAAGGACGCTACGCACGGTGAAGGCCATCGCAAGTAGGTTGGAGGCCATTGCTACGAACGTAACAAGAAGCTACTAGTATAGCTAGAAGCTATAAGGTGGAGGCAGTCCATGCCAGTCGTGTTTGCGTCGCCCAGTGGCCGGACATTCCCGTGGCTTTCGCCGCGGCCTGGGAGGTGGTGCCAACCGTAAACAGGACGCGTCACCTGGGGTACCTATATGGAATAGTCTGCATACGGTTCTTCAACCTCTGTGCACATAGGGCACACCATATGGACAGACCTTCAACCTGGCGGTTGGCAGTGGTTGATAGTTCAACATGGTAACCTTTATTTAGGTCGGCTAACCCCTTATATATCTCAACCGAAATAAGCATTTGCTCACAATACCCGAGACGATCGCAGACTCAAATAAAGGCCGTGACTCCAAAAGATGGTTTTCACGCCGGGAACGGTCTACAGCAGGGCATATTCCTGGTCTACAGTAGGGCATATCCCTCCCCGTGGCCCCGGCCGCTGGGTGCTTCGGGTCACGTAGGGGTGCAAGTTAGCTCTTCTAGTGATACCAAATGTTTTAGTTGCTGAGTGGTTGCTGGTGACTTCATGCATGGTTGGCTGATGACCCGGACATGTGCTCACGTTTCATTCATTGATTCCATTGTCACCTACAGCCTCACATCTCAAGTACGACCTCGCGACCGTCACTGACAACACAAACAAACTGGATGTAAAGTTTGTCAAGGGATCTCCTACCAGAAACAATATGCAAATTGCATGTTTAATACGGAGACCCCTGAAAACGTTCTTGGATGTTTTTGGTTTATTCCCATCTTACACGGGGTCCAACGAGGGTCGCTCTCCCCCATTTTAACACGCACGCGTCACCCATCTCGTACGGCCAACGTTGGATGCGGTCATTGTCGTTTCCGTTGAACCCCAAAGAAAGATCCACTAAAAGATGGACTCAAACCCCCCAACGTTCACGACGGAGATTCTTAGCCCCCAGTCCGTTCCGTCCAGTCCATCCTCCCGTCGCGCCTCCCCCGCCGCCTGGGCCGCCTTCTCCGGCGTCGGCGGCGCCGTGGCCGTGGCGGCC